ATTACATAAAATAATTTGAAATTTATTTATAAATTATATATAATTTATGAATCTAAATAAATACATATATAGATACTTTAAAAGAATAATAATATTCTGCTTTAAATAATTAAAGTAATAAATTAGTGACTAGCTGAAATCAAATAGTAGATATATAATATATTTAAATCAATAAATAATTTATTAAATTTATTGAAAATAAAAGAATAAAAACCTAAATAGTCTCCGTTATTATTATTAAAAAGACCATAATTAATATAATTTTATAAAATAAAAATATTTTATAAAAAAGAATAGAAATTCTTATATATTTAGAACTTTAAAAAAATACAATATAGTTTATAATAATTAAAAAAACTAAATATATATATATATATATATATATTTCAAAGATTTCTTATTTTTAATAAAATTTAATAATTTTTATTAAATAATTTATTTGAATAAAAAAGCTGAAATTAATTATTTTGAATAGAAAAAAAATTAAATCTAAATAATTAAAGCAATATGAAATATATATAATTATTTAAATTTATTATATATATAAAAAAATATTTCAATCATATTTATTTTAAATATAACATTAAATATTTTTTTGAGGATATATTTTTTATTTTATACTATAAATAAATGTTATCAAAAGCTTTATAATAGAAGCTTTACAATATATATCGTATAAAATAAAAATACAAAAAATATTTCAATATCCATAAAAATGCTAATATAATTAAATTTCTAAAAAATAAATTAAAAAAAACTAAAATAAAAATAAGAATATTTCTTTTTTAAATTAATAAAAATTTCAATAAGCTCAATATAGGGATTTAAAATGTTTTTTTTAGAATTAATTAATAATCTAAAGCTAATAACTTAAATTTTGATTTGAATAAAAGAATATAAATTTGCATAAAATAATGTAAAAAAGATATTAATTAAATTCTAAAATACTTATACCAAAAAAAACTCGAATAATTGATTCTTATAGTAAATAAAAAACTTAAACTTCTTAATTAAATTTTTATAAAATAAAATTTATTAAAAAATCACATAATTTGAAAAAAAAATCAACAAAATAATAAAAAAAAAAAGAAGAAGAAAATATATAAATTGAAAAATAAGAAGAAATAAAAAAGAATAAAAAAAAATATATTATAAAATAATAATATATAAAAAAAAATATAATACAATAAAAAAATATTAATTTGTATAATTAAATATAAAAACTTAAAAAAAAAAATTATTATAAAATACAAATTAATATACCAATATTATAATAATATTAAACAAATTATTTTTCTAATTTAAAAATATAAAAAAAATTTCTTAATAATGAAAGGAATATCGTATTATAAAGTATTAAAAATATTTATTTAATAAATTATTTTAATAAAAAATGTAAGACTATTAAATTTCAAAGTAATAAAATAAGATAATAAAAATATAAACTAAAAAAAAGAAAAAATATTTTTTTTAAATAAATTTAATAATTTAATGATGATATAAAAGATTATAAAAAAATAAAATAAAAGAAAAAACAAATTTAATATTATAAAGAATAAAAAAAAATATAAGAATAAGATATTAATTATAATAATAATAATAATAATAATAATAATAATAATAATAATAATAATAATAATAATATTTATTTGAAAATAAATCTTTAAATTTAATTTTTATTTAATTTATTTTTATTGAAGAAATACTAATAACTTTTATTAACTCACAGTTTTTTCGGTCAATATATTATTACAAGTTAAAAATAGTATAATGAAAAAGTATTTATTTTTAAGTATAAAATTTTTTTACATTAAAAATATTATATATCAAAATGAAAAAAAATACTTATAATTATAATAAAAATAAAAAAATTAAATTAAATAATTTAAACATACCTATTTTATTATTTTATAATAAAAAATAAACCAAAAAAAATAATAAAAAATCATCCAAACATATCATATTCCTCATCATCTTATTTTTATGTTTTTTATTATTATTCATTTTTTTATTAAGGCCCATTTTATTATTAAGTTTTTTTAATTTATTATTTATTTTTTTCCTATTATTATTCTGTTTCATATTATTATTATTTTTAGTCTTTTTATTCTTATTAAGTTATTTCATTTTATTATTTTCCTTATTTATCATATTTTATATATTAATCTTATAACTAATTTTTATTTTATAAAAAGACTTAATTTTAATGTACTTATTCTTTTTTATTATTTATATCATCTTCACTTTCTGAATCATCCATAATATTATTATTTACAACTAAATCATCATCACTATCATTATTTTATGATTTCTTTATTCTCTATATTATAAGTATTCTTCTAATTTCCTCCTACTCTTCTTCATTAAGTTCTCCTTTATCTAATTTTTCCAATAAATTCTGAGGAATAGCATCCAAATCAGTTAATTAAGCTTTGATTTATCCTTCATTATTTGAATTTACCTATTTTTTTGCTAAATCTTATCAAATAAATCTACCAAACTTAAAGTAAATGCTTCCGGTAATTAAAACCTGAATTAAATTTCCACTGAAAGTTCAAAAATAGAATCTAATTGTTATTTTTTTATCTAAAATTCTTAATCAGAAACCTTATTTTCATCCCAATTTTTAATTTTTTTTTCCATTTCTTCCCTTTCAACTTTTCTCATATTTTTTTTAAAAAAAACAATAGGCTTTTCATTTCTTTATAATTAATTTTTTATAATTTAAATATTTTCATTTATATTTTTATCAGGAAAGTCCAATAATTTCTTTAATTGTTCAATTAATTATTCATTACTGAGTTTTTCATATTTATTTATTTTTTCAAATTATTCTTCATTTTTCTTTATTTTTTTTATGATTTTATCTTATTAATTCTCATCTATATCATTTATATCATTATATACTCCTTTTTCTTTTTTTGATGAATAAAATTTTCTATATATGCTTTATTATTCTTCTTCTATTTAGTTTAACCAAGGATCACTATATATATTTATAGTTATTATTTATTTATATGTTTAATTTTTTTACATTTCACCTCCCTTCAATCTTAAATTTCCATCTTCGTCAATTTCCCCTTTTTCTCTTTCAGATTTCATATTTAATGGCTCTATTATATAGCCGAAATAATTGATTCTTTTTTTTATTTATTAACATTCTTCTTCTTTTTTTTTTTTTTTAATTTTTTTACTGATTTTATAATACTTTAACTTCTTAATCTTCTTCTTCTTGTTTTTGGAGATTTTTCATAGTTTATTTTTCTGTTTTATCTTTTTTTTTTATATATATTTCTTTTGTTTTTTTATTACCATCATCATCATATTCGTCCTAAAATTTTTTGTATTAAAAATCTGTAGCACGTTACCTTTTTCGCTAAAAACGGGCTTTTTAAGGTTCCATTATATTTATTATTTTTTATTAATACAAAACTTAAATTTATTGATATATAATTATAAAAATAAAATTATATATAAATACTTTTTTAATTATTTTTTTGTAGACAGATATAATTCAATTAAAAAATAAATAATATATATATATAAATAAACATATATTTATTTGCATAGAAATATGTATATATATTTATATATATATATATATATATATATATATATATATTTTTAAAATAAAATAAAAATGTAATAATTAGATGATAACAATCCAAACGAATCTACAGAAAGTCTAAAAAATGAAATAATTATTTTAAAAGAAGAAAATTAAAACCTAAAAGAAAATATGGAAACTCTTCATTAAACCTTTGAGGAAAAATATGAAGAAGTATTGATGAATTTAAAATAAAAGAATAAAAAATAAGAAGACTAAATAGATAATTAAGAGTGCTAAATTATTGAGTTACAATAATAAATAGAATAACTACAAAAAGAACTGGAAGATAAATTCGAAGAAATAGAAAAAAATGAAAATATTTAAAATGAGTGTACAACCTTAAAAACTACTTTATTAACTTTAAGATAAAAATAGAAATTGAAAAAGTAAACATTAAAAAAATAAATACAAGAACTTGTTCGAATTAACTAAATTTAAAATAAAAAAATTAAAGAATAAGATGAAAAGTTAAATAAACAAGAAATAAAAATATATGAAAAACCTTAAATGTAAGACGATAAAATAATACTTTATAAAGAAAATATCAATATTTTTTACACTATAATTGGTTTTATTTTACTCATTTTTTATTTGATATTTTCTCTTATTTTTGAACCGAGAAAAATTATTTAATTTTTATATTTGAAACCTATAAAAGAAACAGATGTTTTTCTTAAATTTTTATTAACAAAATTTTTTTAGAAAAAACAAAATTAAATAAAATATCCTTCGTGAAAAAAAACAAAAAAACAAAAAACAAAGGGGGGCAAAAATATAATATATAATAAATCTTTTTCAAATTATTTTATTTTTATTTGAAAATAAATGATAAAATTATAATTATATTTATTTTTAATATAATTATAAATACATTTTTATTTAATATATATTATTTAATTTTATTATTAAACATTTTTAACAATTAGAAAAATAAAAAAAAGCAAAACTAAAAAAAAAAAGCAAAATTTATTATCATAAATCAATTATAAAAAATAAAATAAAAAAAAACTAAAAAAACGACTTTTTTATAAATATCAATAAGAAATTTATTATTTACCTAAAAAATAATAAATTTAATTATTAAAAAAATCAACTTAATAACAAAAATAATTAAAATAGAAAAAAAAAAAAAAATACTACACTATATATATATATATATATATATATATATATCTCTTTTTATTTTATACAAATAAAAAATATAAATTTGATTTATAATATATTTATTATAAATATATTTATAAAATAAATAAAATGGAATAGTAAAGTATATAATAATTACAATAATAAATAACTATACTAAATGAAGAAAATAATAAACTAAAAGAATATAACAAAACAGTCCATTTAACATATGATGAAAAATACGAAGAAGGTTATAAATCTTTATAGTAGTAAATAATTAAATAAAACGATAAATTAAATAATTAAGAGTTCCAAATAATAGATTTATAATAATAAATAGAATTACTTCAAAAAGAATTGGAAGATAGAGATAAAGATTATGAACAAGAAATTAAATAATATAATATTCAAATTGAAGAATAAAAGTAATATATAGAATAAATGAATATAAAATAATCAAATGAAATAGAAAATGAAGTAAGTAAAACTAATATTATAAAAGAAAAGAAAAAAAAACTAAAAAAACAAATAAATATATTTAATGAAATAATATTAAATTCAGAAAATAAAAACAAAGAAATTTTAAATGAAAATAATAATCTTTTATAGTTAAATGAATAATTAGAATAACAAATTAATTTAAAAAATTAATAAATTGATTAAAAAAGTCAAGAAAATTAAAATTATGAATTAAAATTAAATGAAAAAAATAAAGAAATTATTGAAAAAACTTTAGAAATATAAAATTAATAAGAATAAATAAATTAAAAAAATTAAGAATTAAATGAAATAAATTAATAAATAAAAGAAAAAAATTCACAAATATAAGAAAACATATACTAATTATAAAAATAAAAAGAAAAAATAACTACAAAAAATACAGAAATATTAAAATAAAAAGAAGAAATAAATGACAAAATTAAAGAAATAATAGATATAAAGTTTTAACTTTAATAATAAATCTAATAATTATAAATACTATAAACTGATATAAATCAATTGAATGAATAAACAAATAATACTGATAAACAACAACAAGAAAATATAAAATAATTAAATTTTTCTAAATATATTTAAGAAGAATAACTTTAATAAATACAAATATAAAATCAAAAAATCGAAGAAATATTAAATGAAAAAGACTAGATTTTTAATTAGCTTGAAACACAATAACACGAGTACTTATTATTACAAAAAATTCAATTGAAATTATTGAAATATAAAATAAAAACATAGAGATTTAAAATAATTAAAGATAAGAAATAGATATCTTAAAAAATGAGATTTAAGTCTTAAAAGAATAAATAAAATAAATAAATTAACAAAATGAAACATAAATAAATGAAATTCAATTAAAAAATTAACTTATATAATAATTAAATTCAGAAATGCAATTAATAAATTCTAAAATTTAATAGCAAAATTAAGAAAATCCAGAAAATTTAATAACCTAAAATATACAAATTAAATAACAGATTTCATAAGAAATAAATCATAATTAATGTGAAAGAGAAATTTAAATACTAAAAGATTAAAATAATTATTATTTATAAAATATAGACATATTTATATAAAAATGTTCAAAATATCATTAAGAAAATACAATATAGAATCATAATATTTAAAAATTAAAATAAAAAAATTAAGATTTAAAAAATTAATTAGAATAAATAAACAAAAGAAAATATGAAAGAAGTGAAAAAAAATAAAAAAAATCTTAAACAAATAAAGATGAAAATTAAACCATAAAATTAAACTATAATAGGTTCAATAAATTATTAAAGGATGGAATAAAACCTATTGAAAAAAGTGAGGAAAAATTAGTTACTAAATATTGAGCTAAAAAAAAAAAAAAAATTTAATAATTTCAAATATTAATTTACATTATCTAAAATTTTAAAAGATGATATTGATATTATTAAAATTTGATTTTTATTTGATTTTTATTTTAATTATTTTAATTATATTTAAATGTTATTTATATTTTAAAATATAAAAATGAATATTTATATATATATTTATATATAAAAATATATAAAAATATATATATTAATAATTATATATAAATATATATTATTTTAACTTTTTTGTGTATATTATTTATCAATTATTATCTAAACTTTAAACAAACATTTCATATATTCTATTAAATTAACAAATTGACATTTTTGAAAAATTCACAAAATTTTAAGCCAATCTATTACTAGTATTATGGTTAACTCTAATTTTATGATTTATTTACGCATTCATAAGTTTTTCTTTTATAATTTTATTTTTTACTTCGACCATAATATCTTTTATATCTATATTCTTTTAAGTCAGCTATTAAATTTTTTAATCTAAAGATAATTTATATATTCTTGAATTATTAAACTATCTTTAAGAAGATTTAATCCCTACCGGTCCAAGTCCTAATTTTTTATTATTATTTTACAAAAGTGAAAATTCGCTACAATTTTCAACAGATATTTAAAACTCGAAATCCATATCTTTTAAATTTTATTAAATAATTTCCTAAATAGAGACATTAAAAGGCTCACTTTCATCCAAAATCATTTCTAAATTCAATTGTTTTAGAATAACCTGAACCCCACATTATAAAAATTCTTAACTTTTTTTATTAAAACTTATAGTTTCATATGAAATTCTTCTCATATTTGTATTTATGTCTTCATATTAAAAAAGCAATGCTTTATTATAAAAAAGTAAGCTTTTTTCCATATCTTAAATATAAAAAAAGCTTATCGAAATTTTCTCATAAAGTTCTATTTCTATTTCTTTTTATTTCGAATACCAACTATACTCAATCGCTTTTTTATAAAATTAAATACTTTCTTCAAAAAACCGTCCTATAATACACAAATCGCCCATTTTTTTATATATAAAAGTCTTTATTTCTTCCTATTTTTCCCAATTCATATTTACGGAAATACGACTTTAATTACATAATAAAGCAGCTTTATTTATATTCCCTGCTGCTATATATATATCAACACAAAAAAGCAATATTCTATTAAATAAATTGACATCTTCGCTTTCTATTACTATTTCTATCATTTCTCTTATATAATACTCTAGATTTTCAGGCTGGAATATGTATTCTCGGATTTCTTTTATTATTTATTTTTTATTTGCTTTCATGAATTAGTATAGTTTTATGAATTCATTTTTTTTTTGATTTTCTTTAGGTACTTTTACAAATCTTAGATGACGTATTTGATGGTATTTTAGATTCTTTTCTTACTTTGATAAATTTCGGATTAACGATTTGGATTTTTTTGGTTTATTTTATTCTGTTTAGTGATGAGATTTATTATGAAAAGATGAAAAATTGGAACAAGAGGCCGATTTTTGCATATTTGATTGGGAAATTTCCATTGTAGTGGATTAAATTCGAGAATTATTTTTTAATAATGATATTTTTTAGTTTTAAATTTGTGAAACTTTTTATTGATTTTAAATTTTAAATGAAGTATGTTTTTAGAGATATTCTGTTATATTTATTTTATTGTTATTTTATGTCATTTTGTTTTTTTTTAGTTGTTATTATTATAATAAAAAATTATTTTTTTTTGTATTTTTAATTTTATTTTTTTTATAATAATTAAAAGGTAAAAGAATATTAAAAAAAAAATATATCTTTTTATAGTAGTATAATTTAAAAATATATATAATAATAAACATTTAAATATGAATAATTCTTTATTAATATAACTAAATATTATAGGCGAAAAAATAATCAAATATGATGGATAAAACCATTAAATATTTGGTAATTTAAAAAACTTATTTCATAAAATATATGATTACAATAGATTAAATAATAATATAAAAAAGAGACGAAAACTTAATAAAATAAGTAATCAAAAACAATAAATAAATATAAAATTATAATGAAAACTAAATTTTATTTGTAACAGCCAAATAACTTTATTAATAAGAAATTAATTTTAAAATAAATTATGGGTCTTAGCAAATACTTCTTTAAAATTCAATATACAAAAAAGATAAAAAAAAAAATTTTAAAGGAAAATATATATATAATATAAGAATTTATTTAATTAAATAAAAGATATTAAAATATAAATATAAAATTGAAGGAAAAGCGTCAATAATAATAACTGATTAAGGTCAATATAAATATATATATATATAAATATATATATATATATATATATATATTTATATATATATATATATATAATATTTAAATATTTATTTTTTATTTTTATTTACAATTATATATTTATTATATTTTTATTTTTTTATAGACCTTGATTTAACAATTGCTTAATTTTTATTTAAATATTATTCTTAAGTTTAAATACCTGAATTCGTTAAAGCAGAAATTTTATAACAAATTTAAAATGATGAAACTTTTGTATTTATATATAATTATATACATAAATTAATAAATACGTAATAATAATAAAAAAACTAACAATTGATAATGTTATAGATAGCTTCGCTCGTATTTTAGAAGAAAAAATATAATAATAAAAAAAAATAGAATACTTAAACTAAATTAAATAAAACATATTGATTTTAAATATAATATTTGACTTTTAAAATAATAATAATAAAAAATAAATATTTTTTGATAACTTTAAATAAGAAAAAAGAGATTTGACTTAAAATGATATGATATCAATAATATAAAATGTAAAATGAATTAAAAATATAAATAAATATTTATATATTTATATATTTATATATTTTTATATTTATTTATTGTATTTTTATTTATAAATAATTATAATTCTTATATAAAAAATTATTATTATAATTTATATTTTTAACTATAATACAAATAAAATATTTATTTTTTATATATTATAAAATATTCATTATATTAGTATATTTATTAATTACATTTAATAATATTTTTTATTAAATTTTTGTATTACTAAAATCATATTATTTTTTTTTTTTATTTTTAAATTTATTTTCTAATAAATAATTTTTTTATTTATTTAATTATATTTTATTTAAAAAAATATGTTAACATTATCTAAATCAATAAATTATTAATTTATTAGATTTATATTATGATCTATAAAAATTAAATATTTTAAATATTATTTAATTATTAATAAAATTATATTATAAACGTATTGTATTTTTAATTTTTGATTACATATATATAATTTTTTTAAATTAATTTTTTATATTACTCTTATATTTTTAAATAACTTTTACAAAATTTAAAAAAAGAAATATATAACAAAAAAATTTTTGAATTTTCATTATATATTTAAATTTTTTTTTATTTTTTTTAAATTTAATTTATTATTTAGCAATATTTTTGAGCCAAAACAAAAATTTGTAAAGATTATAAAATATTTTTTTCCTCTATTATTTCAATTTTAAATACAATAAAATAAAACTAATCATAAAATAAATAAAAAAATTAGAATAAAAATATTAAAAAAATGGCTTAATTATAAAATTTTAGAAGAAACCCAAACGAATCTTTAATAGACAGATTAAAAGAATACATAAGCGAATATAAGCTAATAATATTTTTAACTATATCAATAATAGTATTATTTTTCTATGGAAATTACGCTCGTAAAGACGATGAATTAGAACACAAAAGTAAGAAAAAATAAAATAAAAAAATATAAAAAAATTATTAATTTTGTTTTTTTTAAAAAAAAGTAGTTCCAAATTAAATAGACTTCATTTAATAAAAAACTGAATACTTTACAAGTATATTTGATTTCTAGTAAGGATCTATAAACATCTAAAATATATTCAATGAATAAATAGAAAAGCATTTTAAGCCTATAGATTAAACAATATTTGATTTTTATATAGATGAATAATTAACTGACAAGGAAAAAAGTAATGACTTACTTAAATTAGTAGAAAATATTTTATAAACAATTAAACATGCATCAACAATTAATGAATATATGAAAAATACTAATTCTACAATAAATAAGAATAATAAATTATTAGATGATTGTAAAATTAATATTATTGATAAAAATAATAACGATATGGTTAGTTTCGCAAATGAATTTTTAGATTAAAATAAACATATTAGTGAAATAGAAAGCGAAAGAGATAAATTAAGAGATAAAATTAACAAATTAACAGAATAAAAAAATGAAAATGTTAATTAGTTAAGAGAATAAATTAGAGAAAAAAATGACACTAGAGCATCTTATTTATAATATATTGAAATTTAATAAAATTTAGATAGGGAAATGTAAATAAGATTATATATATATATATATATATATATATATATATATATTTATATATTAATAAATATATATTAATATTTTTTTTTTATATTTAAATAAAAAAAAGATAAAATTTATAAATATAATGGACTAAAAATAATTAAACTATAGAAGAATTAGAACTTGAAATTTAAAACCTTGAAGATGAAAAATAATTCATTATTAAAAAACATGAAATTAATTTAGAATCTTATAGAAGTATATATTAATAAATAAAATAATACGAATATGTAAAATAATTGATATTATTTTTATTTTTTAAAAAAAATATAATATAAAAATAGGATATTAAAGAATATTATTAAATCATGAAATAGACAGTATTATTAATAATAAATAAAGAGAAGAACACCTTGATAATATTAAAAAACTTACCTAATAGTTATTTAGAAGAATAAAATTAATTGAACTTCATAAAAATAATAATTAAGGGTAAATTATAGACCCTTCATTAACAGAAACTTTTGAAAGTGATTAAAAATAACTTAAAAATTTAAATAAATTGTAAACTTAGTTAATGTAAAGTTATAAAAAACTTTTCTATTCAGACAGTGGAAAAATCATTAGATTAATTATAATTAGAAATTTTATAATTAAAAAGTAAAAATAAACTTTTATATATAAATATTTTATTTAAATAATATTAAAAAAAAAAGCTGAACTATTAAATATTGAAGAATAAATAAAAAATAAGGATTAGAAAATAATAGATATAGAAAAAAAAATTAATGAGTTAATTGTAAATTTTTATTAATATTAAAAATTTATATATATATATATATATATATATATATATATATATTTATATATTTTTATATATTTTTATATAAATTTATATTTTAATAGTTGAGAATACAAGAATTAAAAGATTAAAATTTATATTTAGTTACTTCAATAAATTTATAAGAAAGATAAAAAAAAGAAAACTAAAATTTATTAAACACTGAAAATATTGGTTAGAGATAATAAGTGGAATATGATATACAAGATCTTAAAGAAAAAATACAAGTATATTTATTTTAAAAATAAGAAAAATTTATAATTTATTTTTTTATTAAAAGGATATTGAAGATTAATATTAAAATGAAGCATAAAAACTCAATTTAGAAATTTAAAAATATAAGAATAAATATACAAATTAAAAGATGAATAAACAATCAATTCAAATAAAAGATAATGTAAAATATAAATATAATTATAATTTATTTATATAAAAAAGTCATTGAATAATAATTAATTATAAAGATAAATAATTGTAGATAATACAGATTTCTAATTAAGAAATTACATGAAACTTTAGAAAAATATTAATCTAGTTTTGCTAATGATACCGATAAATTAATAAAATTAAAACACGAAATGTTTTTATTTTTAGATAATGTTATTAATTATAATAATATTTAAGAATTTCTTAAAATAATTCAATAAATTTGAGAAATATATTTATAAATAATACAATATAAATAAAATTAAAAATTATTTATTAAATAAAATATTATAACCGAATTTTTATTAAATAAAAATCTAACTCAATATAATTTATATTTTATATATATATTTATATTTTTTATTAAATAATAAAATAAAATAAAAATTGTATAAAATATCAATTTTATTCATTTTCAATAATTCTAATCCATCCTTTTTAAGGTAAAATTTCAGGATTTGCCCATAATTCCATTAATTTTAATGATTATTTATTATCTTCCGAATAATTAGCTTTCGGTAATAAAGTTTCAATCATTTTATATATAAATTGCATACCTTTTTAACTTAAATCTATTAAAAAATGAATAAATTTTATATAAAGAAAAAAGTACCATCAGGTTTTTATTCATTAAAAATATCAAAAAAAACATCAGAAGTTCTCTAATGTCTAAGTTCTAATTAAGCATCTTTATTAAATTTCCTGAACATAAGTATAACTTTCTTTGCTCTTTTAAAATAATTATCATCTTCATTAAGGAAAATTTCTACTACATTATTAATTTCAGGATATTTTTCTTAAATAACTATTTATTAAGGAGTCAAACTATCCCATATACTTTTATTAGGCTACAATCTTTTAAAAAAATCAGTAATTTTTTTTTCTTTATTTTAATTAATTTTCTTTCTTTGTATTTCTAATGATTTTTAAGAATTTAATTATGCAACCATAAAATTTTCTATATATTAAAAACCCTTTTATTCCATTATAGCTAATAATTAACTTAATAAATTTTTTTCACTCCATATAAATACGATACCATTATTCATTAATTTTTCAGAAAGTTTTATTTTCTCAAACTCTTCTATCGTTTTTCCATTTTATTTATTGTTTTTTTGCCATTTTATGTTTATTAAAATCCCTTGAAGGTTATTACCATATTCATCTAAATTCTATTCTATTATATTGTTGGTTATTATTTCTTTATATTAGTAAGATTAAGGTTTTTCATTTATTTGCATTTCTGTTTTCCAGTTTAATAATAAACTTAATTAACTTTCTCTTTTTTTAATTTTTAGAATATAATTTAAATATATTAATTGTTATCTTTACTATGAGTCAGTGTTTGGTTTTATTTTTTTGCTAATAAAGGTTCTTCCATTTAATGTTTCTTTTTTAATAAGATTTTTTATTTATATTTATTATTTGTTTTTTACCATTTAATAAATATTTAATTTTTGATGAGTTTATTAGGTTATTTAGAATTTAAAGTTATTTTTGAATTTATTTTTTTAAGTTTTTGATTGTTTAATATATATATATATTTTATTTATTTTGGTTGTAATGTATTTTTCTATTTGTTATATATTTAATTATTTTGAAAAATGCGCGTAAATAGAAATATTGCCAAAAAATCCCGCTTTAATATAATTATTTATAAATAATTATTATAAAATAAAAAATAAAAAATAAATATAAAATAAAGTAAATATTCCATTTTCAGACTTTATGATAAAGAAATCTAAAATAAAAAGATGGTAAAAAAAAAGTATAATAAAAAATAATTAAAATAACATTTTATATAATAATAACTATATTTAAATATAATATTGAATTATAAAAGCAAATAAATAAAGTTAATAAATAAAAAGGATATTATATTTTAATTAAAAAGATATGAATATATAAATTATTCATTAAAAATAAAGATGAATAATAACTATATCAAAAATTAATGAAATAAATTAAAAAAATATTTAAATATAAATTTAATTATCATTAATTAGATATTATTTAGATTTATATATAAGTAAAAGAAAAATATATTTTTAAAAAATAATATACATTTAAAATAAATATAAATAAATAATATATATAATATATAAATATATAATATAATATAATATAATATAATATAATTTTGTTTTACAATTTAATCATATAATTATAAAATAAAATTATTTAAATTATTAAATATATAAATTAATATATTCTTTAAATATACAAATATACAAATACATATTTTATTATTTTTATCTTTTATTTACTATTTTTTAGATATTTTTTAAAAAAAATTAATATACATTATAAAATTTAATTATTTATTTTTTTGTTTTGTCTTTTTATATAAATTTAGATATAATATTAAAATATTAAAATCATATATAAATTATTTTATTAATTAAAAAATTTAATAAATTTTTATGAATTTATGCTAAAGCTCTATTAAACCTAATTCTACAAAACTGAATTAATAAAAATAATATATTATTTATTTGAAAGAAATATTATAAAATCAATTTCATAATAATATTATATAGGATAATATTTCTTAAATTTATACAAAAAAATAATTTTTAATCATTTAATAATAATTCCAAAATATCTTTATAAGAAATTTAGTTTTAACTTTAATTCAAATTAGAATCTATTTTTATTATAATAGAAATAATATTAAAAATTAAACTGAAAATAAAAACATTATAGCTTTTAAGCAATAATATTTTTAAAAAATAATAATATATATAAATTAAAAACCTTATTTTATAATTGAAAATTATAATAAATAAGAAATAATTTAAAAGAAAAGAAAAAGATTGAATAATAATATATTTTTTTTTTAAAAAAAAAAGCATAATCTAATAAATAGAATATAAATCTCAAAATAAAATAAAAAATATTAAATAAATAAAATACTAAAATAACAATGAAAATTTATAAAATAGAGAGATAAGAAACAAATGCTTTAAAATTAAACAAATAAATACATAAAAATACTCAATTAAAATCAAACAATTTTAAATAAAAATTAAAAAACTTAAATACAAATTAAAAAACAATAAGAATCTTAACACTTTAAAGAAAAAAATTCGTAAATATTTACCTAAAATATATAAAACCAGAAATAAAAGAAACTAATTTCTATTTTTTTAAAAAAAATAAAAATAAATTTAATATATTTTTTATTTTTTTTCAAATTTAATTTATATATATTTATTTATTTTTTATTTTTATTTTCTAAAAAATTTTAATAATTTTTCATTATATAAATAATAAGTTTTTAAATATTAATTTTTCAGTATATATAAGTAAAAATAAAAAAATATATATTAGATTTCGAATTTATTTAAATTATTATATATATTAAATTCTAAAGCTTTCATATAAATACATAAATACTATTAAAATAAAGATCTTTATTTTATATGAAAATATATTATATATAATATTTTCAAAATATTCAAAATTTTATTAATTTTTTTTTTTTTTTTTGTAGAAAAAAATATTCTTCATTAGTTTTTTTTTATTTTTCATTTTATATTATTTTTGAAAATTTCCCTCTTTATTTTGTTAAAACAGACCAAAACTTTTTTTCAATATTAATTTATAACTTGTTATACATATTATTTTATAATTATTTGAAATAATTTACACTAAAAGGTATTTTTACACTCCCCCAAAATAAATAAAGCAGCTCAAAAACACTTTGGAATCTTTTATACTCTTCATTTTTTGCAATTTCAGGAGCTAAAAAAACCGTTGTTCAAAAAAAACTCGTTTATTAAAATATCAAATAAATAGCATTTATATTAAGATTAGATTGTTTTATAAAATATTATTTTTTCTTAATAAAGAAATATAATTTAGGATTTCTAAACAAATATTTCTTACTTTATGTCAAAAGATATATTTTTTACATTTTGATAAATTTAATTATACAGTTTCCTTGAAAAAAGTTATCTTTTATTATAAAAATAATACTTTTGTTTTAAACTAATTCATATATTTAAAATATATTCGGAATTTTCTTTATCTTTTTGATTATCAAAACTTAAATTTAAAATCTTGTTTTAGTACTTTCGATCTCCATATATTTTTTATCTATTATTTCAATAGTCACTTATTTTACCTAAGAGTAGTTCGAAATTAAAAAAAAATACAAAAAAAAGGTCGTTTTCTTATAATTAAAATTATTTTTAAAAAATCTAAATATTTAAATATATATATGTGTTTGTATAAAAACATATTTATATTTATTTTTTTTACTTTATTTTCTAATTTTTATTTATTTAAATTTTTAGTATTTTATTTGCAATTAAATTATTTTTATTTTAAAAGTTAATATTTTAGATTAAAATAAAGAAAGCTTTTTATTAAAAATAATATCAAAAAAATATATATGTATTCATAATTATTTAATTTATTACGAGCTTATATATTAATTAAATGATAATTTGGTTTTGTAAAATTTTAATTCTATTCTGATTTTAAATAAATCTTTAATCAAAAACATTATTTTAACAAAAAATACTTACAATTGATTATTTTTTCTTATATTTATTATTTTATTTTAATTTATATTAGAAGTTTTATATTATGATATATTCATATTTTTTTTTTTTCTTCTTGTTTATAATTATTCATAATTTTATTAAGTTTTCATTTGATTTATTATATTCATTAAATTTATAATTTTAATTATATATGTAATTTTAATAATATATATAATTTTTATTTAAATTATTTATTTTGTTTATTTAATATTATTACTATAGTACATTAATTACTATTATATTATTTTTTAAATTTTTTTTTCTCTTCTTAATTATTTATAAATAAATATTTTATTCTAAAAGTATTATTCTCTTCAGATAAATAATAAATTAATAATATAATTTTTAAAATCCTTTAATATTAATATTTTTAATGGATTGAAATAAAGTCTTTAAAAAACTAAAATTGTTTATAATTATATTTTAATTTAATGTTATTCTATTTATTTTAAACTATCTTATATTATCTTTTTTTACAAAACTTTAATATTTTTAAATTTCTTTTTTTTTAGTTAATAATTTTATTTGATTTTTATATTATTAATTATATTTTTTCATAGTTTATATTTATTTAGATTTAAATATGTTTTTAGTATAGTTTATTTTTTCATTCTATTATTAAAAATTAAAATTAAACTTTTATAAAAAATATACTAAAAATATTTAGTTTATATAAATACAATATTTTGTATTTTGAAAGAAATTTACAATTATTTATATAATTCTTATAGTACTTTATTTAATAAAACTTTTATTTAAAAATAAATATATAAATATAATTAATATAATTACTTAAAAAAAATTCATATAAATAGGAAATATTTTTTTATTTTTTTTATATATAAATATATATATATAAATAAAATAAAAAAATAAAAATAATGAATGCTTAATAAACATAATATAATTACTAGACTAAAATATATATATATAAAAACGAATATATATATATATATATATATTTTTTTAAAAATAAAAAAGAATATAATTATCATTTTTTCTTTGAAATTTTTTTTAAATATTTAATTGCTTCTTCTTCTTCTAATAATCCATTTTCAAGGCAATATTTTATAGCCATTTCACTATTTGCATTTTATTTATATAAAGTTTCATAGAAAACTCTAATTCCATTATCATCATCTGGAGTTTAATATTTTTATCCTGGCATAAAGTCTTATTTATAATCATAAGAATCTTCATCATCATTATTTTCGTTTTCATTATTATCATTATTTGTTTTTTTAGTTTTTTTTGAATTATTATTATTAGCGCCTTTTTTTTACGAAGACATTGAATTTTTGTTTTTTGATTGATTCTTTTTTTTATTATTATTATCTGTTTTCTTTTTTGTACTTTATTTTTTTTATCTCTGTTTTTTTCTAGGAGCTGGTTTTTTGGATTTACTTTAATTTTTTTTTCTTCGAAATCACTTTCTTACTCTTCTTCATCATTTTCTCCTTCATTAAAATCTTCTTGTTATTCCGATTTTTATTCGGATTCTTATCTTTTATTTTTTTTTCCCATATAATTTTGAAATTTAATATAAATATTTTATTTTTTATATAATTGAAATTATTAGTATTTATTAATTATATAAGATTTTTTTTCATTTTTAAAAAAAAAAAATATCTCAAACAAAATAAATAATTACAATTTAATTAAAATTATAAATATATAATAAAACACTATTTAAATAACGAAAAAAAAAAAAAAACAACAACAACAAAATAAAGTCTATATAATTTATTAATATATAAAATATAGCAAACTCATTTATTTTTATTAAGAAACATATATTTATTAAAATTAGTCCCTTAAAAACCTTAACTAACTAATTAATTATCAGTCTTCATAATCATTAATTTTCTATGTATAAGTTCATTTTCATCTTCATGGCTAAAACCTCTTAAAAATTTATTGAAACTCTTAGGTAAAATAGTAGGTTCATTCCCATAAGCATAACCCAAAAGTAAATAAAGAATCATAAAAAGAAAAGTATAATGATTAGGATTACTTTTTATATAACCCCTAAAAAATAATATATATATTATAATAATATATATATACACATTTAAATACCTTTTACAAAAACTCCTGTATATACAATCTAAAGCTCTAGAAAGTAGAAAAATTCCCCAAATTTATCTATTAACTTTTTAGCGAGTAGCTAATGATAAAAATCCAGCTAAAAATCCACTAATAAAGCATTACAAATGTTAATTTAATTAACTCGTTCTCATTAAACAACAACTAGATTATAATACTAAATTATAAACACCAGGAAATAATGCAAATCGGAAAGATTCTTAATTAAAAAAAGCAAAAAAAATATTTTTAAAAGGACTCTTAATTGTTTTATTATAATTAATAATTAATTAAGCCATATATAATATTGTATTTGCTGAATATCCTAAAGTAAAAGCTTTAAATGTTTAGTTTATTATATTATAAAAACAACAGTTTTCATGTTTACATTAATCAATTTTTTTAGAATCTTATATTTTTAAATATTTCAAGATTTCTGAAATTTTCAAATATTTTTCGTATCTATAAGGTGTTTCAGAATTTGGCAAATTATTTTGCTTTGCTGAATTCTCTAATTGACTTTTCATTTTTTTAAATTTTTTTTTTTATTTATTTTTTTATCTAAAATTAATTTAATATTTATTTATTAATGTAAAAATATATGAAAAAATAAGTTAATATTTTTTAAATAAAAGTCATATATATATTTGTAATTATAAATTATATTATTCGTTCATATTTTTAGTTTTATTTTCTATAATTTTTTTTTTAAAAAACTTAATATATAAAAATATAAATGATATTATTTATTTTTCTTTCAACCCCCACCCACAACCTCTTTTTTTTATTAATTAAGTTTTTATAAAAAAAATTATAGAAAAAAACAAAACAAAAATAATATATAAAAGTAATAACTTAGGGTTTTACAATACTTTATTTAATTGTATAAAAAATTATAAATAATATAAAGTTAAATTTCAATTATTTAAAATGTACAATTAAAGGTAATTATATAATCCATCATTAGATTAATAAAGATAAACAAATAATAATGAATAAATGTCTTAAAAATTAAAATAAATATAAAAATAGGTATTCTAAACAATAAAACCTTAATAATAATAAAAATAATCATCCTTTTATAATAATAATAATTAAAAAACCCGAAATTTAATAATAAAAAATACATATTTATAAAATAATTAAGAATAAAATTTTTAAAGTATAATTGAACCTAAATATTAAATATATAATAAACATCAGATATTGAAATAAAAAATACACAAATATATAAAGATTTACTATTAAAATATGAAACAATGTGCGAAAATAATTAAAATTTAAAAAATGTATTGATTTGTTTAAATTTAAAATTATATATTTTATTTAAATATTTTTTTTTTTAAATAAAAAGGATAAAGATAATTTACTTTCAGCTTTATTTTAAAAAGACGATTAAATAAAAAAACTTAGATAAGAAAATTTATAAATAAAGGAATAAATATAAGAACTTTCAAATACAAAAAAAGAATTATAATAAATAAAAATTGAAAATGCAAATTTAAAAAATGAGAAAAACAATTTAAAAACTGAAATACAATCTTTAAATAATTAAATAAGATAATCTTAAGTTTAAAGAAGTAATTCGAATTAAAATGAAGAAGAACATAAAGAAAATGAATTTATTTTTCAAACACTCATCGCAATAAGAGCTAGACAATAGGAAGAATAAATGCTTTAAATTGCTCTTTAATAATCTATGTAAGATTAATAAATAATAAATCCTGATTAGATGACATATGAAGTAAAAAAAAAAATATAAAAAAATAAAAATAAAAAATAATATAAAAAACTAGAATAATAATATAAATATATAAATATATAAATATATATATATATTATATATTTAATTATATATTTTTAAATATAGCAATTACTTGAATTAGAAGAAAGAAATGGAAAAGTTAATAAAGGTTTAAAATAAGATTAAATTGATAAAATTAAAGTATCGAAATATGTAAAAAAAAATTAATAGGAAAGTTGTAGTATATGTATAAGCGAATTTCATAATAATGAAAATATTAAATAATTGCCTTGTAAACACATTTATCATATTAATTGTATTGATAATTGGCTTTTAAATGAAAAAAGCTGCCCAATATGCAAATAAGATGTTTTAATTAATAATTGATTATTATTATTTTATTATAAAATTTTTAAATTTTTTTTTTAATATTTTATAAATAAATACATTTAAATATTAATTTTTGCAAAAACCTCTAATTTTAATCATTTTAATGCTGATTAATTTTAAATATATACTTATATATTTTAAATAATAAATAAAGATATATTTTTCTTTTAAATTTAATTTTTTTATTTAAAAAATAATACTTTTATCTTTATCAAATTTTTATTTATTTTTTATATTTATTAATTTAATATATTAATAAAACATATTTTTTATATAAATGGCTTTAAATTGCAAATAGCAAAAATTTATTTATTACAATTTATTTCATTTAAGTATTTAATATTTTATTTCTAATAAAAATAAAAAAAACGAAACGAAAATTAAAATAAAACATATTTGTGAATAAAATAAGGAAAAAATAAAAAAAATATTTAATCAACAATTTATTTAAATAAACATAAAATTTATAAATTTAAAATTTCATAAAAAAAATTAAAAATAATGAAAACATCTTAAATAATAATTTTCCTCCTTTTAATAACATCATTAATATTATCAACAATTTTATATTCATAATACTAAACTATCTAATAAGAATATTTTCAAACTGCATTTTATAGTATAAAAACAAAAAAAAAATTAAATTAAATTTTTTTAAAAAGGCAAGCATTAAACTATTTAGATATTAAAATAAAGCTTAACTTACACAATCCATGCATATTTTTTAACTGTTCACTAATACCCATTAAAGGATGCTTAAGTAAAAAAAAAAAAAGCCAAATAAAAAAACTTCCATCAAAAAAAAAAAAAAAAAATCATATAGGTAATAATAGAATTGGATAATTAAAAATTTTAATTAACACCATCTCCATCTACAGGATTAATATAACATACATCTAGTCTCTCATCAATTTCCTCATCGAAAGAAGGAAAAATAACATTAGTAGTGGGTCAATCGCCATATTAAATAATAAATGTATTTCCAATAACACTAGATAGTACGAATAATATAAAACAAACATTTTATTTAAAACCAGAACCTTATCCAAAACCTACAACAGTAAAAGGATGTGTATATGACCGCTTTGGGAAAGCCTTTCCTAAAGTAGAAGTGACGATAAGTTACGATAAGCCAATATTCTAAGACTAGGTAGTATTATAAAGTGACATTACGACTGGATGTTTTGAGAATATATAAGATTTAAAGGAATTCATACCTATAGAAGGCAATATAATTGCCGAAAGAAGCAATTATCCAGTCTATAATTTAATATAAAATAGTTTAAATTATAAAACTGGATTTTATATTTTGAACGACTTGAAATTTTAATTGGACGAAAAAATAATTTTAAAAACGAATTCTGTGCCTATTAATATAAAAGGATAAATTAAAGATTAAGATAATTAGCCTTTAAATGCAGTCGAAGTAAAATTGGAAAAATGTAATTCATAAACAACACTTCTAAAAAAAATTTTCTATAAAAAAAAAAAAAACATTGATTTTTCACTCTCTGCAACTTCAGATTCTAAAGGAGATTTCGCTTTCCTATCAGAAAATTCGCCATTTTTGATTTCCTAAAATTCGCCTATATAAACACTTTAATGTCAATTAATAATAACTAAGCCTCATCCTTATTAATAATCAATAATTATTAAAGAATCTAATTATTTTGATAATTTACCCTTGAGTATAAAATTAACTCCTTAAAAAATTTAAGGTAAAGTTTCGGGAAAATTAGTCGATAGTGTAACTAAATTACCTTTATAAGGTGTTTAAGTATTATTAGAATACAATGATAAAGTTTAAAAATAAAAATTATAAGCTTTAACAGATAGCGGAGGAGCTTATTCTTTTAATATTCAAGGATATACTGGATTAGAATATATAGGAAATATTACATTTTCTAAAAATGAATATAAAACTATAACTTAAGATTTAAAACTAAATGATTAAAATAAGTTTACATTAGATCTTGGAAATATATAATTAATTTATATAAGCGTTTAGGGTAAAGTATCAGGAAAATTAGTTGATAGTATAACTAAATTATATTTATAAGGTGTATAGATATTATTAGAATATAATGATAAAGATTAAAATTAAAAATTACAAGCATTAACTGATAGTAAAGGAGCTTTTTAGATAAATATCCATGGATAAATTGGTCTAGAATACATAGGAAAAGCAACATTTTCAAAAAGTGAATATGAATCAAAAAGCTTAGAATTAAAATTAAATGATTAAAATAAATTTACAGAAGATCTAGGAATTATTTCCTTAGTATATTAACCAAATATGTAAGAAATTACAATTCAAGGAAAAATTCAAGAAGATAATATGAAATAAACACCTTTAAAAGACGTAAAAATATTAATTAAGATTTTATCGAAAGCAGGTTAAATATATAAAAAAAAGATAAAAAAAATATAAATATATATATAAATATATATATATATATATATAAATATTTAATTATCTAAATATATTAATATTTTTTCTATATATAAATTTTTATATTTCATTTAATTATATAGATAATAAACTATAAACTTTAACTGTTATTTCTAATTAAACTGGTGTATTTTCATTAAAAATCTAATTATAAGAAAAAATTATGTATGAAATCACTATAGAAATAAATGATTTAGAGCATTTTATTACTTTTTTATCAAAAAAGGATATTACTGTATCCACTACTACTAAGCTAATAGACTTCCTTATTATTAAATTAAAAAGAAAAAGCATACCTGCATTAATTTCAGGATAATTAATAGATTCTAAAACTTAAAAGCCTATTATCAATTCTAAAATCTAAATTAGTACAAGTCCATCATTGGAATAACCTATACCAACAACTTCATCTAGTTCTTCAGGTTCTTTTTCCATAAATTTTATCGTTTTGTCTGGATTATAATACTCTTATGCTTTATTAGTGACCTAATAAACTGGATAAGTAGGTTCATTTTAAGGTCCTGATCCATTATCTTTTACTAATAAATACAAGATAGAAAATTTAAAGGCAGTTATTACCAATAAGGAAGTAACAGCAACTGTATCGGGTATTTTTATAGAAAAAAGTCAACAAAAACCTGTTGAAAATGCAGATGTTTTTCTCATTGTAGCAAACAAAATTAACAGATGTTAATAAAAAACCTCTTCAAAAGGAGAATTTTCGTGCTAAGTGGTATTAGATGAAGGGCCTTAGTATACTTATTTTTTAGATTTCAGAACTAAAATCGGATAAAAAGTCATTTTTAAGGATAATTCTTTAATATTATCCAAAGACAATAAATACAAAATGGAAAATCATAATCTTTAGCTTTTATTCGCATAAACAAAAGCATAAATTAATGCCGTTTTAATAAACAAAAAAAACTAAAAACCAATATCAGAAGCTAATATTTAAATAGAAATAACGCCACAAATAAGTACCAGTAGTACTAATTAATAAACTTGTCCTAGTTCAAATGATAAAGGAGCTATTTTATGCGAATTTTAAGTAGACGATGGTGTTTCTTATACTTTTATGGCCAAAATATAAGCCAAAAACGGTCAAAAAGGCTCTTTTAGTGGAAACATAAACCCAACAAACCAATATATCAGTTAAAGTGGGCATGTATCGATTGATTTAATTGAAGAAATGGTAAATGCTAGTATATAAGGAAGTCTTAAGGATTAATAAGGGTAAAAAATTGTAGAAAAAAGTTTCTTAGAAATATTAACTGTCGAAAATAAAGAAGAACCTAATGAAAAAGTGTTTTTTGCAAAAACTAAAGTGGAAATTTTGTAAGGAAACTTCAATGCAAAAATAAATTTAACAAAAGGATTTTCTTATAAAGTTTGCATTTTATTTACTTCTGATAATTTTTTGGAAACAAATTAATGCTTTGGATTAGATTAGACTAATAACTATTTAGTTCAAAATGCTTAAGTGACCTTAATTTCCCCAATTAAACTAGTGTTAACAGGAAAAGTACAAACAATGAGAAAAAGGCCAATAAATGCAGCCAAAATAATAGTTTTTTTTGCCATTAATAAATAGGAATTTGCTATTATTTCAGATAAAAATGGAGATTTTGTATTAAATATGGTATTAAAATTAAAAGATTTGGAATAAATAAAAGGTTAATTGAAAGTTTAAGCCAAAGGATTTGAAGAATATACTTAAGATTTAATTTTCGAAAAAAATAAAAACTTTAAAATCGAAAAATTGTAAATAAATATGAACTCTATGGAATTCTAACACGAATTAAAAGGATAAGTAGTCGAAAAACAATTTTATGGAATTAAAAATGTATAAATTATTCTAATTTTAAAAGATTCCAAAAAAGAATAAAAACTAACCTCTATATCAGAAAAAAAAGGATTTTTTACCGTTAAATTTAATATTAATAATAATGAGGAATATGAAGGTGCTTTTCATTTTGTTCATGACTTTTTTTATAGCAAAATTTATAATTTTAAACTACTTTCTGAAAATAATTACGTTTTACCATTTTAAAAATACAATTTAGATAGAAAAATTATCATGTTGACCTTAAAAGCGAAGATTATTAATATCTTCCATTAACCTTTAGCTAATGCTATTGCAGAAGTACAAATAGCAGCTGTTAATAGTAATAATTAAGATGAAGTTGAAGAAGACGAAGATATTTCAGTAAATACATTTAAATAAACAGTTAAAAGTTAATCAGATGAATTTGGAAAAGTAATAATTTTATAAGAAGTCGAAGTCGGTTACTAATATATGTGTAGGACTTCTGTCACAATAACTGATGACTAATATGAAGAATCATTTGAAAAAATCGATTTTAATTATGAAAATAGTTACTTAGTCGAAGACTCTATAATAGTGATGTATAGATAAAAAAATCTTGCAAAAGTATCCGGAAAAGTCTTATTCAATAAAAAAGCCTTAGAAAATGCATTTGTTCATCTAGATGTTTAACATATTAAAGAAGATGTCAATTTTGGAGGAAAAAGCCATATTTTGGATAAATAAAATTATATTAAACCTATTTATACCGATTCTGAAGGTCTTTTCATCTTTTCTTTTTACAAAGAATATGGATACTCGTATGATATTAATATTACTGCTTAATATCCTGGTACTTAAGATGCCCAAAAAACCATTCATATTTCCGTTTTGAATAAATATGTATCAGAAAATAACGTTATTAAGCTTCATGAGAATACCCACTTGACATAAGGTTACATTAAAGGGCATACTGTGGACAATATGAATAATATATTACCAAACTGTGAAATTTTCATGTACAATGAGGTAATAAAAACTGACAAAAAGTTTTTTACATCAGATGATAAGGGTTTTTTTTACGTAAAAATGGACAATTTAATCAAATAAAACAACTATTTAATAAGACTAGAATTCAAACCGAAAAAAGATGCTTCTTTTTACCGAAAAGGCTTCAAAGAAGTCGTTTTATCGGAAAATAATGATTATTAAATAGACGATTTATTACTATTTACAAGCCGATACTAAGAATAATATTACATATAAGGAAAAGTGTTAAACTTAAAATAAAAAAGTGAGAACATTTACACATATTTCTATGACTAATTTAATGCTTAAAATTCATTCTTTACTATAACATCTTAAAATTCTTATAAATTTTCTATAACAGGAAGAGTTTCCAAAGGCCTTGATTATGAGCCTGATATATTAATCTAGAATATAAAATAAAAACATAAAATTACTTTTGAAAAGAACTATCTTCTTTAAGACTTAATACTTAAATTAGAAGAAGAAAATCCACTAGATAAACAAGATTTTAATATTTTTAATTTTTTCGGAAAAATTTTTACTTAAACTAAATGTAAACTTTTCCCTTAAATGGACTTATCTTTTGTCAAAGTTAGTGCTTTTTATTAAGATAATGATGATTTTAAAGAAAATATTATTACATTCACTATGGCTAATTTATCAGGAGATTTCAATATTGAGTTAAGAAAACCTTTTTTTAATTAATAAGTTTTCCTTTTATTTTAAAAAGAAGGGTTTAGAGACTCTAAAGTACTTCTTAAGTTCAGCTAGAATTTATAAATTGATTTAGGATAGATTCCTTTGACTACAATTGACAATAAGCCCGTTAATTGTACTAAAGAATAATAAAAAATTCAAATAAAATATGATAATGGAGAAAAATGATTGCCGAAATTATTTATTTTTTTATAAATTAATTATATATTTTATTTTTTACATTTTTCGTATTATTTCTAAACTTAAAATTAATAATTATTTTATGGCAGAAATTCTGTATTACGATTAATTTTTTATTATTATATTAGCAAATTAATTATTTTTTAAAGTATTGATCTACTACTTTTTCATAAATTTTAACGGAAAAAGTAAAAAATATATAAACAATATTTATTATGTCAAATTTTTATATACAAAACATAATTTTAAATAAAATATAATCGTTTTAATATAAATATTTAAAAAATAAAATATTTCTTTTATACAATATTATATATAATAAATATATATAGACTATTTAAACATTAAAATAAAAAAAATGGAAAATAAAAACAATTTATTATAAGTAGGTTCACAAAAAAAAAAAAAAAAACTATAAAAAACAAACAATATATATAAAAAGCATTTAATATTAGATTATTTTATTTTTTATAAAAAAGAACTAGATTAAAAAAATTAAGAAGAAGAATAAAAAAATAAAAAAGAAAAATAGAAAAATTAAGATGAACAATAAAAAAATTAAGAAGAAGATAAAAAATAATCTTCAGATTCTAAAATAATAGCAAAAATAAGATAACTATAATTAAAGCCAGAAAACATTAAAACTGAAAATAATAATACTTTATTAACAAATGATATGTTTGTGGACATAATGCCGCCCCAACGCATCAAAGTAAAAAATAGCAAACTTTAATAAATGATAATTGATGCAAAAAAAAATCATTAAAAAAAGCCTTAATATAATCCAGATGCTATCCCTCCGAATTTTCAAATAGCCTAAAATCATAAAGTATTTATTTTTTAAGAAAAAAAAAAAAAAAAAAAAAGCTGGCACTAAGAACAGGCCCTGAATAAAAATAACCAGACATAAAAATAACGTTTTGTGAATGCTGTGCTAGAAGAGTAGAAAATGTAAGACTTCCGATTTTTTGCAATTTGACTTAACTCTCATTTCTAGGAAGCGGGTTTCCTTTATTCTTTACTTATATAAAATTCTGTAGTTATATGATTTTAGTTATTTTTATGTCTAGTGGAATTTTCAATGCTTTAACGAATCTTTTTTTCGGTTCCTATTGTTTACAAACTTAAAAAGCAATAAAAGTAATAAATAAGCAAAAAAGTATATAATAATAAATAAAATAAAAAGGATAATGAAAACAAATAAGATTTTTGTAATAATTAAAATTGGATAATAAAATTATCATTAGCAAATAAAAGAAATTAAACAGATTTAATGGATTATTAAAGCATTGTCAATATAATATGTATATTCCTAGTTATCCTCCTTCTCTAGTACTTTCGTTATGTTTAAAGAAAAGTAAACGTAGAATGTGATATTGCAGATATCAGTGTAAATGATTACACAGTAATGATAAGCAATATACCAAAGTAAAAAAAAATTAAAAAAAAAACAAAAAAAACAAAAAAGGGAATATGATGCATTAAATGACGATTATGATGATGATTTGAAAGATTTTCTAGAAAAAACGGTTTACCTGATAAAAAATTAAACATAGTGAAGTTAAATTTATGTTATAATTTAGATGAGCTTTATTAATTAAAATAAAAGAAAGCTAATTTAATAAAAAGAAAATAGCGAAATCTACTTATACATTATAGGACGAAAAAAAATCTCGAAAAAGTGAACTAAACAGATCTCAAAATTGAATAAATAGACTAAGAAATTCAAAATTTAGAAAATAAGTTTTAAGAAGGTAAAGGAAAAGAATTTATGAAAAAATATTTCGCAGGCTGGACTTTTTTAAGCCTCTAAACTGAATGTGAAAAAGAAGAATTTTTACAAATGGCCTAAATTAAAAAATATCCTCTTATTTATCACGGTAATAAACTAATAGTTCAATAAGCGCCATATCCAACCGATGTTTTTTGGGAAAATCTTAAATTAACAGAAAAATAAAGAAAAAAGAAAAATATTATGGGAATTTTTATTACAATAATAGTTTTATCTGTTTGCTTTATGGCTATATATGGACTTATCTTAAAATAAAAAGCTATTAGTGAAAAGGAAACTGAAGATTAAATAATTGTTTAATTTATTGGAATATTAATTTCAATAATAATAACTATTTTAAATGGAGTTTTATAAAATATTTTAGTATATGTGTCGAAGTAAATTATAAATATAAACATATATTTATATTTATATATACATATATTTTTATTATTTTTTTTTAATTTTAATTTCAGAACTTAATTAATAAGATTAAACAGTCTATTAATAATTTTTTATTCTAATTGATTTTTTTAATAATACTATAATATTAAAAGTATTTATATTTTTTAATAATATAGATTAGAAGGACATCCTACAATGACATCATTTAACACATCTTTAGCTAAAAAAATAACAGTAGCAAGTTTTTGCAATACATCTTTAGTTACATTTTTAGTAGTAATTGTAATACTTGATGATAAAAAAAGTAAATTTATGAAGATTTTTGGAGAAGGAGGTTTAGCAGAGAATTAAAATTATGTTTTTATTTCGAATATAATAGCTCCTCTTATAACACAACTTATAGATATTGAAGGTATAAAGAAAAAATTCCTAAGAAAAATCGAATTAAAAAGTAAAATTTATCTATTTTAACTTAATCTTAATTGAATTTGTATTTTCTTTTTTTATTTTTACTTTTTTGTTAATATTTTATTTAAAAGATTATATGAAGATCCAGAATATAATATTCCTATAAGATATTCTTAATTAAATAATACAATGCTTATGACCGCATTTTATTCCCCAATCTTGCCTATTTCACTTATTTATTCGTTCATTTCAGTCATTTCATAGTATTGGTGTGATAAATATAATATTTTATATAGAAGAACTATAAAAAATTCATAAGGATCTGAACTTTCTATTGAAATGACAGAAATGATTGAATATGTATTACCTTTATTTTCTGCTAGTAATTTTATTTTTTTCGTTTATATTTCTAGCGACGATACTAGGGCTCCCTATATAGCTCTAATAGGTGTATGTATAGGATTAATTCATGCCTTTTTACCTATGCATAAATTTAATGAATATTTTTTCAAGGTTTAAGAACCTGAGCCTAATTAATAAACTTATCAATAAGCTTAATCTCATTTTAAACAAGTAACTTTTTAATTTATATATATTTTTTTTTTTCTCTAAAATAAATAAATAAGGATTATGATAGTGAAAATCCGGCTACTAGTCAATCCACAAAAAAGAAATTCATATAACAAATTTCAAAAAATATAAAAAAAATGAAATCTTTAAAATAAACTGATAATATATAATATGATCCTTCTTAAAATATGATTACAAAAAAAATTGATTTATAAAAATTAAAAACTCAAGCAAGTGATGAGGAATATACTTAATTTTATAAAATTAAATAAGTAGGAAATTTAAAAATAATATAATTCGATTGAAAAAATACTTATTTATATCAACTTTATTTTAATTTTACTATTTTTATCACTTAAAAAAATCAATGATATAAATTTATATTTATAAAATTAAAAAAATGTAAAATATCAATATTATTAATAATAATATAATATTAGTTTTATATAGAAGGATACTTAAATATTACTTGTTTATAGATTTTTTAAAAATAAATAAATAAAAAAAGTTCTTTATTAATTAATTATATTCTTACTTGTTGATTAAGTTTTTATAAAAAATTTACATAAAAAAAATAAAAATTGTAAGCAGTATTATAGAAAAATAAAATATATTAAAATTAATATGAAATATAGTGTGATTGATAATAACAATTTTATTAATTAAATTTTAAAGAAACGAATTTTTTAATTATTTTCATAATTTTTAAAGATAACTAATTATTTAAAATAATATATTCTCTAATAAATTATTATTATAAAACATTTTTAATATAAATAAATATAATTAAATAATTTTTTTAATATTTTTTAATTTCTATTAAAGTTTGATAATTTTTATAAAAATACTTCATAATTGTTTCTTTTTTATTTACTTTGTCTTTTTTATAATTATTATTTAAATATATTTTTATTATAATTAATTAGTATTATATATAAAATATAAGAAAACATAATTTATGTTTTTTAAATTAATGATCTATATTTATAGAAGAATATTTTAAATATATATTTATTATAAAAATTATATAAAATAAAAAAATTCAATTTTAAAATATATAATTAAAATATTATTTAAAATAAATAATTAATTCGAAATTATTTAATAGAAAATAAATTATAAAATTTCTTTAATAATTAAATGAAATTTTATAGAAATTATTAGTATTTCATTTTTTTTATATTATTATTATTATTATTTAAATTTTATATATTAATTATAATTTTTATTTATGTTATTTTCAATTACTAAGTTAATTCTTTATCTCATAAAATTTATTAATTAAGTTATTTGATTATATTAATTTCTTTAAATAGATTTTAACTATAATTACAATTATCGTTAATATTAAAAAATAAGTTAGTTTAAATATAAAAATTTAATAATTATTAATATTTTAAATTATTTAAATTAAATATATTTAAATAACTTTACTATAGCATGTTCTATATAAAATTAGTAATTTAATATAATAATAACTTATTTTTTTATAATATATAAATACAAAAGTTAATTAAAAAAAATGAAATAACATAATTATAATTTATATGTATTTATTTTTAGCTAAATGAATAATTAAACAATATACATTCGTTTTGGTCTGGAAATAAATATTTAATTTTAAAAAATATCATAAAAAAATTTTATTATATAATATCAAGCATTAAAATAAAGATTCACGTTTAATTTAAAATTAAAATAAGTAGATTTTTATTAAAAAAAATAAGTTAATTATATATTATCTAACCTAAAAAAAAACATAATATATTAAACATTTACTAAAAAAAAATATATGAATAATAATCTATAAAAAAAAAAAAAACTTAAAAACAAAAAAATGGAAAATTAATAAAATATCTAAAAACCTTAAATAAAAGTATCTCATAAATATATATGTAAATCCAAACGCATAATAAAAACTTGGTCAAAAGATGAGATAGAACTCTTATAAACCTTATATAAAAAATACGAAGGAAAATGGAATATTATTGCTAAAATAATGCCTGAAAGAACGATATCTTAGCTTTCATAAAGATGGCGTAGAATGAAACCGAAATAATAGAAATTTAAATTTTTATGGACAAAAGAAGAAGATTAAAAACTTCTTTAATTAATGGAAACATATGGTAAAAATTGGAAAGAGCTATCTTTACACATGAATAAGCGTGGAAAATAGATAAGAGAAAGATATATAAATAACTTAGATAAAAATATAAATAAATAACCTTGGACAGAATAAGAAGATTAAATAATTCTAGATAATTATTTATAAATGGGTACTAAATGGAAAAAAATTTCTTCTCTTTTATAAAATAGACCTGAAAATATGGTCAAAAACAGATTTTATTCACATATTAAGAAATATTATACTTTTTCTAATAATAATAATACACAAAATCCTTCTCCAAAAAATTTATAATAAATAAACAGTGAATAATCTATTATTACAAAAGAAGAAAAATAATCGTCTTCAAACTCTTTGTTATCTCAAAATAATAACTATATTTTAAAAAATAATAATATCTCTTTAGTAAAACCTTTTTAATTAGATGAATTTAATATTAGTGAATAATTAAAAAGAAGAAATCTTTAAGTGCCTTTTTTGAATATTCATTCTTCTTAAATAAGACCTGTTTAAATTTAAAATATATTAGATACTAATATTAATTATAATCTTATATAAAATTAAATATTAAGTAAGAATAATTTCAATTAATCATTTAATACTTTATAAAATATAAATCTAAATAATAATAGTATTTTTAATAGCAGTTTATATTCTCAACAATAATATAGTCCTCCTTCTATCACATCCTTATAAACTTGCTCTTCTTTAACCAATATTGACAACATTTATTTTTTAAATTAATAATAGTAGTAATAATAATAAATTTTAAAATAATAATTAATCACAAAATAATTTATTTAATAATTTAAGTCTTATGATAAAAACGAATAAGCTAATATTTTATAATAATTATCTTATCAATATTCTAGCCTAAAATGAATATAAATTTACCTTTACTATAATTAATAATTAAATTATATATATATATAAATTTGTAAATCTCATCAAATATAAATAATTTATTTTAATTCTTTTAATTTATATAAAAAAAATGATTTTACTATTTAACAAATTAATTTATTTATTCTTTTTTTTTAAATATGACTTGTTAATGGTTTAAGTTTGTCATTTGTTCTGTATTTTTTTATTTTTTGAAAAAAATAGGCTATTATCCAATTTTTTTATCATTTTTTTTTTTTGATTTCAGTTTTTAAAGATTTTTTATTATGATAAAATAATATACATAATATTTAATTTTATAAAATTAAAATAAAATAAAATATAATGGATATTTATTTATAATAATTTATAGTACAGTTTATAAATTTGTTCCAAAATTTACAGGTTTATTAATCTTAGATATTAACAAGAAAATTATAATAAACAGATCCTGAAGTTTAATATAACCCTAACATAATAGATTAATTAAATATCTAAAAAATTTATGCCAGCATAATAATAATAGTCTGTGTAGGAATAGGGTAATCAGCTGGCGCAGGAGGAGGTATGATTGTAGTTCCAATTTTAATATCAGTATTTGGATATGAAACAAAAAAGAGTATATCACTAATATTTGTGATAATATTTGTAGCCTCATTTGCAAACATATATTAATTATCAAAGAAAAGAACATAAGAAGGTAATTCATTAATAGATTACAATTTAGTTTTGATATGCCTACCTGCCTTATATTTAGGCTCTACTTTTGGCGTTTTTATTAATTTGTTTATCCCAGAAATAATAATAACAGCCCTTTTCATATATTTTATATCCAAAAATGTACTTAAGACCCATAAACAATATAAAGCCGAAAAAAGGAAAGAAGATCAAATATAAAATATTTAAAATAATTACTAAGAAACACCAAATGAAACAAATTTCCTCTCAAAAAATTATATTTTACTAAAAAGAATTATTCTTATTATTATTCTTTTTATATTTATTTCGATAATTAGAGGAAGCAAAAAATTTAAATCTATAATAGGACTTCCATTTTGTGGATTTACCTATTGGATTATAAATTTATCACTAATTCCTTTAGTATATTTTCTTAATTAAAGGACACTCTATTTTTTAAATGATCTTTAGTAAAATAATCTTATTCAAAAACCATTTGAAGTTAATGAAACTATTATATTAAAAAATTCCTAAAATGCCCTAAAAGCGGGAACTATTGGAGCTATTATTGGCATTGGGGGTGGTATGATACTTATTCCTTTATGGATTGAATAAGGGATTTCGGCTAGCAGGGTAACTGCCTGTTCCCTTTTCCTTATTTTTCTGACTTCTTTTAATAACTTTATCTAAAACTACTTGGCAGATATGTATGAAATTGATGAAGTAATATATTTTTCTATTTTGGCTATATTTAGTTCTTTTATTTCATAAAAAGTTACTCGTTATGTACATAAATACCAAAAGTTTTCAATATTGCTTTTAA